AACCCTAACCCTAACCCTAACCCTAACCCTAACCCTAACCCTAACCCTAACCCTAACCCTAACCCTAACCCTAACCCTAACCCTAACCCTAACCCTAACCCTAACCCTAACCCTAACCCTAACAAGATGTTTGTAAGGCAAGACCGGCAAGGACCCCAGGAACCCCTGTATTCTGTCTCCGGGAATGAGACGAGTCTGTATGTTTATCAGACCCTGACGCGCGCGATGCGTCAACCGCATCATAGACTTACTGGGACCCTAGCCGTATTGTAGACTTCGGAGGCAAAACCAACCGTATCTTACACGATAACTCGACAAAAACCGGAGCCGACCCCGTCATGTGTGAAGGGTGAATTCACTCGCGTTGCACTTGTTCTGCACTGTGTTGTATCCACACCGGAATCACTTTTCACTGTTTCCGATCACTTCCCGTTCACTCACATCACTCAGAATACACTGTAACTTCATTATTTGCACACTCTCCATGCTTTTATAGAGTGAGCAAATAAATAAGAAATGAAATAGGTATGACGGATAATCACTGTCTTCACTCTCAGACGTTGAATCGGGAGTGAACACACACAGCCATGTGATCGGAGCACCGAGTGCGTGTATTCACGTCATGCCCGTTAACCGGTGTGATCATCCGATCAACTATATAGATTGTAACTGCACATGGACCATCCCGGAGGCATTGGATTGATTTGCCTAATACAGAGCAGTGAAGATATTAGCTTCTGCCCGAGCAGGGGAAGATTGTCACTACAGGAAGTACCCTCACACAGACTACTGTATACTCTCCGTGACGCTCTCTGCAAAACCGGTCACTTCGAGGAGGTTTCACTCTATATGGCCTCTTGACTCAGCCATTATCGCCAGAAAATTTCTCTTGCAATATTGTATGTGCGGGTGATTGCTACAGACGGGAGAGGCGCAGCTAACAGGGCACTCTGAAGTGTATAAAAGGGGGACCGAAGAGCGGGGGGCTCCACCCAGAGCCGGTCTCATCGCTGCACCCACCCCTTCCATTCTACGCAGGTCGTAGAATCACACTTTATCAACCCCAAAACGTTCACTTACCGTACTCGACTCTCCGCTTCAACACATCTCTCACATCACAGCCATGTTTCTTTTCAAGAGCTTCGTTTTCACTTCGCTGGCCATCCTCACTGCCATCACGGCTCTCCCTATTGCATCTCGCGTGCACAGCGATGAGTCTGCGAGCAGTCTTGCTAATCTGTGAGTGGCACAAACCATTACGAGAAGCTTTGAATGTTCATTTGGCGGCAGACGCAGCCGCTGGTCTGCAATGGAGACCTATGGGACCGGCATTTCTGATCTCACTGTGTGAGTGTTTACGCAGCTGTGGCTACTGTGTGCTGTTTCTAATAACCCTCGTAGCAGCCGCCGAGACCTTACCGACGACGACTCGGCTCCAATACCGCGCCGGTCTGTCAAGCAGTGCAATGTCTCATCTTGCGAAGTCGCTTCGACCGCCTCAAAGACTGCTAGAGAACAGTCAAGCGAGGAGAACCACTTGCGTGCCGCAATACAGCATGCCGAAGCAGCAGAAGTTGCCATAAATTACAACAACCCAAACCATGCAGCCACGCACAGCGAAAGAGCTAAGTATCACGTGGGGGAAGCTGTTGAGTTCAACCTACTGCGCCCGGCTATCGAAAACCCTTGCGCTAGCACAACTTGCATCCGGGCTTGGGTTGCCTCAAGCCAAGCTAATCGTTCATCAAACACGGATGACCACCAGTATGCCTCAAGCACGCACGCCCAGGCAGCACAAGATCCTACGATAATGTCAAACCATAAAGACTATCACGTGGCCGTAGCGACTAAGCACCTGCAGGAGGTTGTACGTCTTAGGGCATCTCGTTAGAGAGTTTATGTAACCCAAGTGGAAGCAAACCCGATTTGGTCTATTTTTGGGAATAGCGTGTTGATGGGGTCCTCACGTCGGCATGGTTCTTTGGGCTTCCAGGGGTCCGTGGTTCCGGCACTGGCAGGTGCTGTCAGATTCTGTGAGGTGTGATGTGACTGCCTGCAGACCTGTGGGTGCCTGCAGTACAGAACACCCACCTCTCTTTCCTCTTCTCCCTTTGTTCCCACCAAATCTCTCTCTTGTAAGACAACCAACAATGGCAGCAGAACAAGTTATACAGTTGCAACCACAGGCAAACACTCAGGAAATGACAGGTCAACTGTCTGCTGCCTCTACATCCCCCCATGCTCATCAGATATCCCCCAGTTGCCCCTGTCAAGGGTAAAGAAGAACAGTCCTGGGTAAGCTGTCTCCATGGTGGTGGAGCAGGTCCATCTCTCTATCCCAATGCTATCACCCCCACTAACCCCACTCTGTGTAATGCAGGCTGCAACTGTTTCCTTGGTCTGATTGAGTGCTTCCTGTGCTTCGAATGCTGCAAGGGCATGTGCAAGTGTTGTGCAGATATCATCTGTCCATCCCCCCTCCTCCTACCTCACACCTACTCACTCATGTATTCCAGGCTGCCTGTGTGAAGCCACTGGGTGCTAAATGCCCTTTGTGCCCTGGGCTGGGGAATGGACTCATTGTCTCCCATTTCTTGATCCCTTAATTGCTTGAGATGCTGTATTTCCCAATCTTACCAACTCTGTGTCAAGCAGGCAAATGAACTTGTTCCATCCTATGATCATGTGCGACAGTCTATCAACTAACCAAGGTTCAACCAATGCTCAACATGAAGCCCCTCTCTGCTAAAGCTCCCCATGCCCTCTGCCTCTGTCAACATGCACATACCCAGTCGGGTATGGCTGGGAACTCACCCCACCACCTCCAGGAGGGAGGGACGTGACGGGCGGGCATTCCCCGCCTGGGCACCAGCCGGGGGGGAGGGAACTGAACCGGCTTAGGGGCTTGGGGGCTTGGATTTGTGGCTTTCTGGATGGGAATGATGATGGGGTTGATGCTTGTGTTCGGTCTGCTTGTGCGTGTGCGAGGGGGTAGCATGCGGACTGACCTCTGGATGGACGGCTGCATCCCCCTGGCAAGGCTGGCCGCCGCACGCCTCTTCCCTAGGCTTAGCCTCCGGGGTTGCTTCTCCCTGCGCGGCAGCCGATGAAGAAGAAGGGACTACAGCGTCAAGCGGGGCACGGCTGGCCGCCGCACCACGCCTCTTCCACCGGTTTGGCGACCTTGCGCGTCGTTCCTGGTGCGTCGGCGCTCTCGGCCGCCGAGGATGGAACTGCGAAGTACCCATGACAAGGCTGGCCATTCCACCACGCCTCCTCCCCGGGCTCATGCTCCGGCACTGGCCTAGACTCTGCACCGGCAGGCAGCTCTTTCTTCTCGTCTTTCCTGTACGAGGTAAACAGAGCGGGGCGAAGTGCCGGAGAGAGGCTCCAACGGCTGGCAAATAGCGGTTGGTGGCTAGCCGGGAAGTGCTAGCAGTCACTAGCACCACGCGGGAGATACACGACTATATCGTGCTGTTGCGGATAAGTTCGATAGTGGTACTGGTAAAGTTGGTTGTAGGCGTGTTGGAAGTCGGACACCGTTGAGCAGATAGGGTCATCTGGGCTGGCTAGAGGGACCAAGACTGGAGGGAGTCGATGGAGAGCAAGTAACCAGCGATGGGATGACCAGCAAGGAGCAAGCACGGGGAGGGGATGGGCGTGAATTGGGTTTGGTTGGTTGGGGCTTGTTGGCGGACACGGCCAAGGTGCTCGGAGAGGCCACCAGGATAGCGGTGCATGCATTGAGTACGTCTGAGACACGGATGACAAAGGTGACCGAGCCAGGGTAGGTATGCGAGACAGTGTCATCCCACCCCGTCGTGCAGCCTGTGCAGGTATGAGTAACCATCCAGCCCGTCCAGAGGTATAAAGAGATGCACCTAGATAGCCCTATCTGTACCGGCCGAATCCCATCCTAACCTCGCCCATCCCCAGCGAGCATGCATCCATCCAACCATCTGTCGCTTGTGTATTGCTGCTGTCTGTCGTTCGTCGTTCACGAGTTGTCATCGTCAAGAGCAGACCCTCGTCGCGTCGTCGTCGTCAACAACAGGGACGCGTCATCCTCATCCGCGCGCATCAAGCTCGTGCTAATAGGTTATGAGCCCTGCTAGTCAACGAGGATATACAAGAACAAACCAATACAAGCATGTCCGGCAAGAGTTCATCGTCGCTTTATGCCATCGAGAAGCTGAAGGGGTCTGAGAACTTCCAGACGTGGAAGTTCCTCATGAAGCAAGCATCAGTAAAAAACGCCGCTGCTAGATAGTGCTATGGTGGCTATGCAGAAGGGTTAAGCATCCATAACATCATCCCCTTTTAGATAGCACTATGCGCACGGCATCAATTCTATGGAAACGGGGGCTTTTCTATGGAGAGCGGCAGCTTTTACATAATAACAGTGTCTGGTATATAGCAATTAGGCTTACTGAAAAATGAGACCATTCCGCAACCTGAGCCAGCAACGTCACTATCTGTCCAGCACTCTCTTAAGGCGTTGAATGACGGAGTTGTTGGGATCCTGAGCACAATTGAAACCCAACGAGACTTTGTACGATATACCTCATTATGAATACCTTTTCCAGACTTGCCCTGCTGCGAGTCCTGTCCTCACTGTGCCTGGATGATCTTTGGAATCAAGCCACTGTTTTTTCATAAGCATCTCGTCACAGGATGTACATCTAATACTAAAACCTCCTCTCTTGGTTACTGCATTACCTTTGAGTAATGCAAGAGCTCTCACTATGTTCTTGTGTGCCGTTCTCTTGATCTTCATCTTACTCATTGCTACCCTCGTCCTCGCTACCCTCTGTACCATCCCGCCCCCTGCCACCGCCGTCCTGTCCATTGTCACCCTCGTCCGCTTCCCCCTCCTTGCCTCGTTTTCCTTGCCTGTTTCGTTCATGATCGCCCATTGGTCGTTCGGCACGGTTCAGTCGCCACTTCTGGTGCTTTGTGGGTGGCCGGGCACCAGCCCAATGCTGAAGATGAGCGAGGCGATTGAAAAGTTGTTCTGAAGTTGGTTTGTCGCCTTCGATCCATTGATCCGTTGGCTTTGCATAGGTGAGCGCTGGGACTGTTGGGAAGAGCGGATTAGACTCGATTGCAGCAGCCACATGGAGGCCTCACTGTTCTTAAGACCTTCCTTGCACCAGAGGCAGGGACGGCCTCTCTGTACGCATGCCAAGCATGCATCTTCAGGAACTTGTATGCAGATTTCCACCAATCGATACAAGGGAACAACTGAGCCTTCATCGGACACGGTTGGATTGCGCTTCACAACAATGACATCGTGGTGTTCGTCTTGAGGGGAGCCAAACTTCTTCTTCTTCGATGTTGTTGCCTTCTTTTTCTTATCGCTAGGATGTGCCGTAGCCTGACACGCAACACAATGATAGAAGCCATGGGACAACTGTGAGAATGTCAGCATAAAGTGCAATCATGGCGATGTGATCATACCGTGACGCTGCACTCATTCGGCCACCTTGTGACAACCCATCCCCAGCGCCGTATAAGGGAAACAGACAGCTGCTCGGGGGGAACATAGACAGCATCCAACTCATGATATCCAGGAGCACCCATACCGGCAGTGTACCTAACCACCTTCTGCTTCAGGTGAACGGCTTGAAAAGAAATCCAGATCGGTATATCATAATCCTGTTCAGCATGATACCACTCTAAGAGCTGTCGCTGGGGATCATGCTGTACGCTCAAGAGGCTCGATCGACCTGAGCCCGAGACAGGACCCGAATTCTCTGCATTTTGTACATCAAACCGCATCTTCTGTCGCTTGAGCTGGTGCACCGGCATGGTAAGTTTCATCCGCCTTTTCTTCACGCTTGGAACTCCTCTCGGCGAACCGGTCACAGAGTGTATCATGTGTTCAGCTGACCAAGCATCGGTCTCGATGGTGTTTCCATGCGGAGGATCGTCCCTGTGACTCCGTGGTACCGTGGTGCATTGAGAGCCGTTCTGTAGGGATTTGTGGAGCTCGTAATCAGCTGTGTCATTCAGCGACATGTCCAGCTCTTCTTGTAATTCTTCGAAGCCCATCTCCTGATCCATTTCATGGTCTGTGACGTGATGTGAGAAATGTTCTGATTGGCTGTTGTCATGGTGATGAAGGCTCACCTCTCCAGTCAAGAGATGGTAGAATGTCTTGCCTTGGGCGGTTGATGTCTCCTTGTATAGTATTGTTGACAGGCGAAGATCTCATTGGTGGAGTGACCCTCACCATGGTAGGAGATGAAGGAACTCCCCTGGCTGAAATCCGCCGAGTTGTATCTTCATGAGGACATGTGCTTTGAACTGAAATAGGTCGTGAAGTGGTCGCGGATTGAAAGCGACATTCGCGGTTGAGTGTCGTTGCAGGGCTGGGGTTTCGTGTGGGGACCAAGGCCGATCGAAAAGATGGCGGGCTGGTTGACTTCCTTGCCTATATCATGGTCATGTCACGCTCTTGTTTGATTGCACGGCAGTTAGATATCGGGCGATGTCTTCATCAATCTGCTTGTCGGAATACGCATATATTCGGAGATGTTGGATTCTCAGGCATCTAGGTATGTTGCAGACATCAATCTGATATCGGCGCAGTCGAGGGAGTGCTCTGCCCAGCACCACTTGGACGTTGTGCACAATGCGATGTATGGAAGCTTGCAAGTCATCATCGATTCGGTCGTAGTCATCATCAGGGTAGAGGGAGAAGTATATGCACTGCAGGTGATTAGCATTCTCTGCAGGTGGACTTGAATCCAAGGCGCCTACCGCTGAGTCCGATGCAGATACGACCCAATTGGCTATTTGTACCCCTCCAGGTTCGTCCGTTTCGCTCGGCGTTGATACACGCTGAAATCGTTGCTTCCAAAGAGCAACATCGATAGCGATATCATCTCGTCTCTGCAACCCCAGCTGCCAGGGGCAACGGTATATCGTTGTATGACAGGAGTTCACGCGGTATTGGTATAGTTGTGTCTTTGCTGTATGACAGAAGAGAGTTTAATTGATCCAGCATTCTTACGATGTAGTTCCTTATTGGGCCGAGAGGCTGGACTCCGACCAGATGACAAACGATGAGGTAGGACGTCTGTGAAACTTGTCTTAGTATTGGTAATCGTTATCCTGTATGCATAGTTTACCTACCACACTGTCCGTCACATGATACAGGAATAACTCAATCGAGTTGATCGAGTGACAATGTTGCATCCAACGCGGTTTCGTCCAAGGCAGTTTCACAAATCGTTTCCCAAAGGTATGGTCTAAAACCTGTCGACATCTGTTGAGTAAGGGTCGGATGACATCCTCCTCGTCATCCTTCCACCACTCGATGCTCTTATACAGGGCGGGTTGCGGTTTAACGGAGAGCAAGAGGGATGGTATTCGCCCGAGGATGAAGGTCCTGAATATTCACGGGGTTGCCGGTATATCCAGTACAGATATAGGTGCAACGATTCCCAAGAATCCCCAAGCTTCTTTGCAATATTTCATGTCTTGGAGGAAATGCACTTGAAGAAGCGCCGGCCAAGTGCCTAACGTAAGCTTGGTTCCTACCTCTTTGGTGTACGACTAGTTGAAACGTGCGGTCAGCAGGGTCAAAGAGCCTCCTTATGTGCCTTACCCATATTTTTGTCACACTTTCAATCCACTTGAGTACAGACGCTCTAACTGAAGGGCGTACTGGAGGGCATGTAACAATGGGTTGGCCAAATCGAGCCAAAATCCCCAAAGCGAGCTGAGTAAATGTGACACGTAATACTTCATTCCATGGAATGAATGCCTGCACGTCGTTTCCCGCTTCTCTTGCCCAAAGAGACAGTCCGCCATCGTCGGCAACAAAGTCTCTCGGAGAGGGGTTCTCTAGCGTTGAGCCTGGCTTCAAGAAGCTAACACCAGCAAAGTAACTCGACGGTATTTTCGACACATCCAACGCGAAGGCTTGGCAGACAGGAGCCGTGGGAGAGGTCTTGTACAGTTTATCGATGTGCTCAATCAGCTCAAGTAGTTCCTTTTGAAGTCGGGGTGGATGCTTATGACTGAGTGACAGAAAATAACAGAATCGTATCCAGAGGTCCTTAGGACAGAAGTCAGCAAACAAGTCAACTGATAGATAGAACGCCAATGATGCGCACCAAAATACTACTCCTCTTGGTAATGTTTAAGAGCTGGGCATCCATATCCTGCATAGATTTCAATGTGTTCAAGCTCCAGTACTCATACAACACATCAATATTGGCCTCCAAGTATCGAGGCATGCGAGTCAAAATCAGCGCTCTTATCTCTGCTGCAGCTCTCTCTGAAGGTTCAGCAGACATGCGTATGAGCGGATCGAATGTTGAACTGCAATCAAAAGGGGACACATCATCGTGATTAGCCATATGAGGAAGTGGTCGTACAAAGGAAAGGTGCAAGACTCACCTGCGCCACCCAGCGGATACATTTAGAACTTTCGAGTTCAACCTCACCGATGCACAACCCTTTGAAGTTCCCTCCATGTTAATCGATAATTCTCTTACTCGTGGCTCGTTCGGCCCTCCCCCTCGTAACCATCACATTTATCTGCAGCAGCATATTGCTTCTTGCTTACCGACAATCAATTTCCGTATGCCATTGGACTGGCTCTCTCCTGCCAACAACGAGAAATACTTCGTGCTGTAAACCGCCTCAATCCCCTCAGCATCCTCCAACTCAACGTCTCTGCTTGTCCCGGAGCGTTTCCCGCAGTGCGATACTGTGTCAGCTCACAACCTCGCTACAGCTCAACCATTGGGTCCATCCGATATAGCATCCTCAATGGTCACAGTACTGGCTCCGAGACGTAGTACAGGGTTACCTCCAGCATCTCCATTAACCGAGCAGCCATCATGTCAACCTTTTCCAATTCCCTTGCCTTCACACGATCGATGCGTACCGAATCTGTCTCACTCAAGAGCACTCCAAAATAGCTCTTCCTCTGTGCTGGTACCGGGTCAGAGCTTGTCCAGCTTGCGCACTGCAGGCAGACTCAGGGTAACCTCAGGATGACCTCAGGAGGAAGCTTCAGGGGGCTCATTGCCTGTCTGTAAACAAATAGATGATGAAGTGATAGTGGTAGATCCAGAGATAGCTTGGAGTGGCGAGCAACTCAACATACTCGAGCTTGTTCAACGAGGAGACAACATTTTCTTCACGGGCCCTGCAGGTATGCATACTTAATTAAATTCCTGAGATCGAAAAGAATTGATTTATTCTCTTTAGGATGCGGGAAATCCGCACTAATTCGAGAGATAGCAAAGTTGAATGCGACCGAGGCTCACCCCGGTTCTGTCACCATCACCGCGACTACAAATATAGCTGCCCTGCTTATCGGCGGTCAGACAATTCACCGATGGGCGGGAATTGGCACAGGAGAAACAAAGCTGGAGGCGATGGTTCAAAAGATACAATGCGATCCTTCCATGATGAGTCGATGGACAGACACTTGGCTGCTCATCCTAGATGAAGGTAGTGCCTAAGCGTTCGTTTGGATAGTGTAAGTCGAACTATCTCACGTCTTCAGTTTCAATGCTCTCGGGCACCCTTCTTGACTACATTGAAACGCTGGGTCAGAGACTTCGCGGAGGAAACCGCCCTTTTGGTGGACTGCAGGTATGATGGCGAACGTTTCCATAAGCGAGTTTGCTGAAGGATTCACGTAGTTGGTATTCACCGGTGACTTCCATCAGTTACCACCTGTAAACGACGATTACCAAGAAGAACACCATCACACCGCACCGTATGCTTTCCAAGCACAATGCTGGGACCTGTGTTTTGAACACCAGTATGCTCTCACTCGCATTTATCGCCAACGCGAACAAGGTGAGTACTTTCTTGCGGTCGAATTGCTCCATCTGAGATTGGTGCCACGAAGAATTACCGAACCTTCTGTGGGATGTGAGATATTCAACCCTCACGGCTTCATCACAGCGACTACTTTAGCAAATAAGCCATCCGAAAAGGTACCCTAACGGTGTTCGCCCTGTTGAAATGTCAGTATCTCCTGGAACCTCACAGACAACGAGCTTACATTTGAACCCCAGCCACACTCACCGTAGAGATGTTCATTGGGGCAAATTGGAATGCAATCGAAAAATTTACTGGAAGCGCAATAACCTACATTGCCAGGGATCAGCCAACTCTTCAACGGTCCATGACGAAACGTTTGCAATGCTTGTTTGCCATTTTGCCAGCGGAGAGCGTACTGAACTTGAAGGTTGGAGGGCCTGTGATGCTCTTGAGGAACATGCCTGAGCATCTTACTCTGGTTAAACACCGTCGAGGTGAAGTTCGTGGCTTCACCACAATTGAAGCGTGGCGCTCCCGTGGCAGCATAGCGAACTTTTCCTCCACCGAACTACTTCCTCAGAAAGCCACCACCTTCCGAGACTTATCCGATTCGAATGTCAAATTCCCTGTGGTTGAGTTCGAGGCAATCGGGTGCCATGAAGCGATGACAGTGCTCGTAACATCGCAGGACTGGGGTGTTTCAACGAGGTCATCTCGTGGAAGCTACAGGCCCGTAGTCGGATATCGACAGCAGGTGGGGCATTGTTATGTCAGTGTATTGAACCCATATTGATTCCCCTTGCAGCTTCCCCTGCAACTCGGCTTTGCATATACGGTACGCAGTATTCAAGGGAATTCGTTGAAACGGGCTAAGATCAATATACAATGGGCTTGGGAAGCAGGTAATTTTTCTGAGGATCTCCAACCGCCTACGTACCGAACATCCCACTAGGTCACGCCTATACCGCGTTCTCATGCGTCACATCAATCGCCCGTTTGGAGGTCGTTCCTTTCGTCTGGTCGAAGGTGCGCCTTACTGGACTCGCACTAATGATGATTCACGAGCAGCTTACACAGATCATTACCGATGACGCTATCGCGCAATGGTCAAGGATGCTAAAGGTATGGCAAGGGATTGACAACGGGACACGAGACGAGGACGATGCGATGCAGGAATGAAGAGTCAGCTTATACCAATATATCACGCGCTAGGCTGTTCGTATCCTGTTAATAAAGCAAGCATACTGTGATTCTACCCAAAACACTGGGAGCCGCTCATCCAGTGGTGTGGTAAAAGGGGTAGTAGTGGCTGTACACTTTACGGGGGGAACAACCCTAGTAAAGGCTCCATCCGTCTCATCCTGTCAGTGACACCGGTGGGCAGAGCAAGCAATTGAGGGATGATGGTTCACGTCAAATGATTCCTCATATTTCACTTAACCCTTGCTGCCACCCAGTTGAAGAGAGTACCTCCTGCTAGTGTTACTCACCATGCATGAAAGTACAATGAGATGACACCAAGCTGAATTGATTGAATTGCAAATCCTCATGCTCTCCTGCCTCCTTGTGTGGCTTACCAAACTTGAACCCCCTATGCACACAGAGGAGGTATTTGTGGACCATTCTTGCCCATTCATACCACCCTTGGAGATGGCTTCACGAGAATGCTCCATGTTGCTGGACATATCAACTTGGCTCTTGGAATCACATGACAGACAGGGTGTGAGCCAAGAAGTATGTACCAGTGGGGTTCTGAAAGGCAACAGAAGCTGTGGTTTGTAGCAGTGGAGATATATGAGGCTGCCTCTCAATTGGAGAGCAACAGCAGCTGTTTCTTGGCTTTAGATAATATTGGTGAGTTGCACCCCACTGTGAGACCTTTGGAAACAAAGCTAACTACCTCCAGCTTCAAAGGACATTGCCTGCAACACACAGCATTGTGTTCTCGACTGGACTGTCACCCATCAACATGACCCATGCCAATGGTTGCAGTCTTAGATAGATGATATGTGCAAACTACCTTGCCTCCATAATCAAGGAGGTACTTATCCTTGACAGGATTGAAACATGTTTATGCAAGCACCCCGATGCTTTCATGTGGCAAATTCTTGGTATTCTAGAGTGCAGTCCATTGTTTTCACCCATGCTAAGCAATGAAGATGCATGGACAGACTGGTCATGGTGATAATCTCCTTCTTCAGTTAACCCACTGCCTCTAACACAATTCACAGGCATTTGGCCAAATACATACTTCACAACAAGATGACTCAAGTCCAAGCATGCATCATTGCCTTGAATGGGCACTTGTTAGGGCAACACAGGCTGACTAAGTCTGCTCACCTAAGAGTGCCAAGAGTCTAAG